GCAGGAGGTTGGGGTGCGGGGGGGGTTAGGATGCACTGGCAGAGCTGTGGAGTGCAGGCAGGTTGTGGTGCAGTGGGATTGGGGTGTAGAGGGGTTAGAATACACTGGCAGGTCTGGGGCAGAAGGGTGGATGGGCTGCAGGAAGGTTAGGATGTACTGGAAAAGTCGGGGATGCAGAGGTTTGGGGGTGCATTGGAAGAGCCAGGGGCACATGGGACTTGGGGTGCACTGGCAGAGCTGCAGAGTTGGAATCTATGGGATTTGGGGTGCACCAGCACAGCAGGGAGGTGCAGATGTAGTGGAGTGGACTGACAGAGCTTGGGGTGCAGGGAGTTGGGGTGTGCTGATAGCTGGGGGGCTGCCAGGCCTCCCTCACTTGAGCCCCCAAGCTCTCTCCCCTATCGTACCCTACCATCCATCCCCATTTATTCCTTTCTCCTCACTGCAGCCCCAAATCCTTTCCTCACTATTTTCCCCACTACTCCAACCCCCAATAACCCTCCCCTCCCAGGAAGCAGTCACATGTCTATTCTCTCCCCCCCGCCCCCAATAAAACTGCCACCCATGACTCACAAATTGTAGCAACCACCAGCCATTTAGTCCAAAACTCCTTTGGTCATAGGTGGGGGTTGTGATTCACTCAGCCTTAGTTATGTTAATGGAAGGGGGAGTTCACAGCCATCAATAACAATGAGGCTTGTGATTCATCCAGTCATTAGTACCTCACAGCTTATTAATACAAGGCTGTAGAAGAAAACTGTTTTGGGGGCATCTGTAATGGGGGAACCCCTAATTCAAATGATCCCAACTTTGGAGCACTAATGCTCCCCTGTACCTTGGTACTGGCGCATGTGCCATGTAAAAATGTGTTTTCAGTTTGGGTCCCCCGAGGTTTACTGGGCACCAAGCATTACCTTGGGTAAAACTCGAGAGGTTGAGATCATGTTGAGCCACCTCACATCAACAGTTGGCTCTCTAGCTCTGGGCAAAACCAAAACCCACCTAGAAACTCTTTTTAAAATTATTTTTCTAAGGCGCTTATATCTCCAGATCTCTTAGCTACAATGGCTCCAAACTTGGGTCATTAACCCTTCCTACAGAGGCAAATTGCAAAAGAATCCAACTACAGCTAAACATGTAGATTTTAGAGCAGTCAGACTTTAAACAGATGTCATGATGGAACCTCAACTATAGTGCCCCTCCATGCCACTATAATAAAACCAGGAGAATCAGAGTTAAGGGAAATGTAAACACATTAAGGGAAGAATTACACAGCTCTTACCTAGCACGCTCTGTTAGAGGGCTTTCCCTTCTCCCTCCTACTTTCCTGGTTCTTGTCACGCAGACAGCAAGCAGCAAAAGACCAGAAGTCTGAAGTGCAGCCAATGTGATGTTTATTGGGGTTAGTTTCCAAGCAAGCATAGATATTCCAAAGCCCTTCACACCAGTCAGGCTTATCTCTGATAGAGTCTGTTCCCCAGTGTTCCATTCCAAGCTCTGATGCTACAGAGACTTGCCTGTGTGCCTGTTCCCTATTCCCGTTCCCCTTAGCAAGCATGATTCTAATTTCCCTTCTACTTCCTGTTTGACCCCAGTTTATATAGTAATATTCTCAGCTATACCTTAACCAATCATTTTACTGAAATGTAACTAACCAATCCTAACATATTGTAACATAATTCTCTAACCAATTATATCCCACTACCCTAATTAACTTACACCTAGTAAAATTAATTATACAGCAGACAGAAACAATTAGAGAACCAGACAGATTAACAATAGAAAAGTGGGGGGCCCAAAGATAAAACAATACAGAAATGAGGGTTTCACAAGCACCATCATTGATAAGTGATTTCTTGCCAGACTGGATGCTATCAAACTAAGTTTTCTTTAACCATCTTAAGATCTGTTTCTTTATCTGGTGGTGATGGGCACTCTGAGGACAGGATTGTCTTCCTTAACAGCCCAATATCACCTTATTTCAATGTGATTGGTTTGGGATGTGAAGATGTGACTGTATGCTTCCCAGCTTATGGCTGCCCCTGCTGCTTAGCCAAAGGCCTTAGCCTAAGAACAAGGCCTCAGACTATCCTAGTAAGAGAAGGCCCATACATAGGCAGACTGTGATTTTGATTCTTTGTTTTTATACCCTTGTAACTAGCTAAGTGATAAAAATACACCTGAGTTCTTAAAGTATAGGCCTTTACAGGCAGGCCTGAATATCTATATTCTGCTTTGTAAAGCACTGTGGGATAGAGAGTGCTAGGTCAGTAACATTAACCCCATTTTACAGATGGGAAAATGGAGACACAGAGAGGGGCAGTAACTTGCCTCAGGAGGTCTAGAACTAGAACCAAAGTATCCTGAGTCATAGTCCAGTGCATTAGCCACCCGGCCACAGTATTGGCCTCTAGGCAGCTTACCAGCTTTAACTCTTCCCTGCAGCAACTCCATGAAATGATGGTAGAACCGGGCTGAAGGCATTTTAGATAATGATTTTTAATGTAGGTTTTGTCCAGGAATTTCCTTAGCTTTGAAAAATTATTTACAATTGCATACACAGACTTCAAAGGAGAACCCCAAATGAGAATACTGGAACAATGCAGTATTGGTAAGGAGATGATAATATTCAGCGTTGACATTAAACCATTTTTCTGTAGTTTAACTTCTAAGGGCAGATTCCCCGGGGCACCAAAGCAACACAGAGAAGTCAGAGTACACTAGCCAGTTACATAGGGAGTACAGCTGCTTTGTATCACCAGAGTAGGGCAAAGCAGCTGAAGTGCACTGCTGAATGTGCCCCCTAATTTGCAGGTTTAGAGAGCTGTGTCAGTGCGATGGTGCTCTGTGCAGGGGGAGATGGGGAGAGCCCTGCCCTAGTGTTTCTGTGCTGTAAGGCTCCCCTGTGCTCTTGCCTTTCCAGCACTGGTGCCCAAGCTAGCATTCTTGGAACACTTGAAGAGCATGGGTCCAGTTTCCCTCAGACCACTGGGTCATTGTAGCGAATAGGATTGTTACATGCAAATTAGCTGTAGAGGTAAAGTGGTGACTGATAGAGTTACCTCTAATAGCACAATAAGAGTACCACTTGTAAGAGTTGCCTTTGTCTAATCATAATCATAAGGATGTTGTATATAATTATTATTAACTAAATCTGATTACAAACAGATTTCTCCAGATGCAGCCTGTGCACAAGATTTCAATCAATTTATCAATATGGAAAGTTTAACATGTCTGTATTATTCCATTATTAACAACATTCTGGACAAAGAAAAGACCAACAAAATGGTAAATTTCTTCAAGGACCCAGTATATATTTATTTTAAATCATAAACTGATGAAAGGGTTTTTGTGTGAATTCCCAGAACATTCCTTCACTCCCAGAGAGTTGGTGCTGCAATTCTGGGGAGGGTACATGCTATTTTTTATACAGAACTAAGAGGCCGAATCCCTTCTTTAGGTACAGAACAAAGCTCCACCTGAACTATGGAGTCAGGACTAGCGCTTCCCAGCACCAATGAACCTGGCTTTGATCATTTACCTTGCTGTTTGTGCATCTGGATCTGGATCGCGCAGTGTGGTTCCCACTCTCTTGCTTAGGGCACCGAGTCCTTGTCCTGTTCACTTCCTATTGTGTCCCCATCACAGGTGAATATCGACCACTGCACCAAAGCTGTGACCATGAAGAACTTGGTGGAGCCATCAGTGAGCAGCTTCAATGAGGCTCAGAAGCGGATCTTTGCCCTGATGGAGAAGGACTCCCTGCCCAGATTTGTGCGGTCAGAGTTTTATCAAGAGTTAATCAAGTAGCAATGTAGCAAGCCTGTGCACTGCATCCCCTGCTAGGCACTCACTGTGAGCCATGCCTCTTTCCAAATCCCACCTTTAGTCTATAGCTGCTTTGCCTTAAAGATACCAAACTGAGAAAGCACTCAACTGCATTGCTAAACTCCTTCCACATTGTTTTGAACTTTCTCCTATGTGCCAAGTGTCTCCTTTTCTACAGTCTCTTTCCCTGCTCCCTTCCCAAGATCCCTGTTATGAAAAAGCCCTAGTGATTTTACCCATTGGTCTTAGACTGCATTACTGAGAGTCATCTCGGCAGCCAGTTGACAGCAAGCTTCACCAGAGTAGTTCCATGGAGACGCAAAGGAGGCTTGCAGGAGCCTTGGCACTCATCTGGTACGCAGGGCTGTGGCCTGTAAAGCTTATAGGTCCTAGGTCTTGTCCACACTACAGAGTTTTGTCAACAAAAGTTATGCTGTCATACAGCAACTGCTTTAATTAAACTGCTGTTGCATGTCCAGACTATGCCCTTGTGTTGGCAGAGCGCATCCACACTACCAGCTCTTGCATCGACACACAGAGCAGTGCACTGTGGGTAGCTATCCCTCTGTGCAACTGGCCGCAGGGTGCTTTGGGATGGGTTTGCAATGCCTCATGGGGCAGGCACAGCATTACATGATGTAAGTTTCTCGTTCCATGAGCATCCTACTAGATTGCCAGCTGCTTTTCAACTAAAGTGTGGGGGGGTGGGAGAGTGTGTGACAGGATGTATGTGTGTGGGGGGGGGGAGGGAGTGTATGAGAGAGTGTGGGGGGAGTGTGTGTGTCACCATGCTGTCTTTGTAAGTCCAAACAATCTTGAGGTGGTGGAGGGGAACGTTCTCCCCCCACAACAGTCCCCTCCTCCCTCCCTGGCTCTGCACAGCACAGCAGTCTCTTCCCCCATCTCCCCTGCTCTGTCTGCCGCTGTGTTCCTAGTTCCAGGGAGAGCAGGACTCCATGTTAAGGGTCCTGTGATTCCCTCCACGTTCTCCCATAGCCTCCTCAGACCAATGATCCACCCCTACCTTGTACTCCAGGCAGGGGAGCGTGTTGCTCTCCATGCTGAGGAATGTCAAAGCTTCCCGGAGTTTTGAAAGGGGAGGGGTGCATACCTGCAGGGCAGCAGAGTTCAAAACATTGAACAGAGTGGTCACAGCGGCCATTGTGGGATACTGGGGGAGGCCAGTTACATCGACATAATGAACAGCAGTGTTGCTTTGTCGCTTTAACTTTGCCCCAAAATGCTCTCTGCCTCTCATTGAGGTGGTTTTATTTTATTGGCAAAACAAGAGAGTTTTGCCAGAAAAAGTAGCACTGTAGTGGGTACACCTCCACTGTTCTGTTGATAAAAGCTGCCTTTTGCAGACAAAACTGTATACTGTAGACAAGGCCATAGTGTCCAATGCTCTAGCTGGATCTGAGCAGCCTTGATTCAGATAAACTCTGATGAGAATCAGAGAAGCATCCACACTTCAATGTTTATCCAAAACAACCACATGACTGAGCTGCTAGACCATATGTCCTCATCCATCCCTACTCGCATGTCAGGTTACACTGATCTGATACCCTCGCTGTGACCAGCTGGATGAATTGAACATGTGAAATACTAATGGCATGGAAAGGGTGTTAAAATACTCCTGTCTCCTCCTGCCACGGCCCAAGACCTTGAAGTGACTGCTCTAAGTGCTAGCACTCTGTGCGGTTGTGACAGTCTTTGAGGGAGGAGGTGTTTGACAGCAAGCCCCACTGAGTGAAAGCCACCTCAGTTCTTCTGAAGCATTTGCTTTCTGAGGGCCCTGACACTGAGTCTGAGACCAGCTAGTGACAGGATTAGCTCTAATTGCACGTTGTGTCCACACACGACATGGTGGCTGCACAGTTAGTAACCATAGCCATGGCAGCACCAGTGTTTTGCCCCGGGCCATGACAGAGACTGCCACGTGGCTGCCTTCCTGGATCCTGGGGCACACTGTTATTTGCAATGTAGATCCTCCACACCCCCAGCAAACTGTGTCCACATGACTGGTTTGGCCTGCCCTCTCTCCTCCCTGCTTTCCAAGCGGGAGCACGGCCCACTTGCTGCTCATTCAGCATATCTGCTGGACACAGAAGCACTATGGGGTTTTCCCAGCATGAACTGATCCAATCACAGACAGGCAGTGTGGAAGGCGCGGGCCCATATGGGTGTCACAAGATTGTTTTTGAAAACAGCTGCGTGGACACAGGAAGGTCAGATGAGAATCAGAAACTGGTAACAATGACAGTTCTATTCATGCTATACCTAGGTACAGGGTGTATCTGGAGCTCCCAGACTGCGCTCTTCAGCTAGTAACACACTTCCCATTGTCAGTGTGCTGGGGGAGGCTACTGTGAGCGATAGGCCCTTCAACACACCACCTCTGCTGGAACAAACAGTGCTCCTTTTGAGCTGGAGACAGGAAGAAAAATAAAACAAACATCATTATCCAAAACACTGGGACTGCTGACTAGCAACCCAGAGCTCTGCCTGCATTAGATTTAGTGAGCTTGTCATTTCCAGAACCATATACAACCCCACAATGCCTATGCATAGCCTTACTCAATGCTCCCCAGGTGTTTAGAGGTGTGTTTGACTCATCACTGTGGGTGTCCTGCTGTTGAAGGCCTGTCCTAGTTATTCTCTCAAGAGCAGCATGCCAAAGTGAGAGTTCTGCACCAACCCAAAAAAGAAATTTCATTAGAGGAGGTAAAACTTGTTGAAAGAACATGACTAATAGAAACAGTTTGGGTCAGTTGCTGAGAACAGCCCTGAAGAAAAGGCAACCGTGGAAACTGGAGAAATAAAACCCTGCCTTCTTGAACAGATGGCAAATAGTGCTGAGCTTTGTGCAGTCCATTTCCCTCTGTCCAGGCTCCTCATTCTGTTTAGATGGGGCATACATATTTGTATTGCTGACACAATTGGCCAGTTTGTGTTCAAGCAGGATGACAGGACTGATGGGGCTTCTTGAAGGTGACAGACTTTTTTCATTTTGAAAAATATTACAGCTCACAGACATTAGCCTTTGCCCTTGGTTCCAGCCCAACTCAGCAGCCACCAGAAGTTGTGACCATCTGCAGACCTTGGGAGGTGGGGGGTGGGGTGCTGTGTGAAATAAAGCTGGGATCTCAACCCAGTTTCAAGCAAGTGTCCATCAGAAGCATGATTGGCAGAAACTGGCCCCCCACTGGTGAAAAGGCCAGGGACTGACTGGACCTTGACATGAATGTCTTTTCTCCTCCGGGGGGTTTCCTAGGAAGCCTGCAATGCCACTGCTTGTGGTAAGACTGCCTATGGCTAAATACAGGACATCAGTCTCCACAGCTGACGATCCAGCATTTTTATTTTTTAAAATCAGTTATAAAACTCTCAGCAGTCTGTTAAAATGGGCCACCCACGCTCAGAATCCAGAGCTGGCAATCCAAAGCCTGGGAGACTGTGTGCAACATGCAATAAAATAAACGATGGGTTTGCAAACCTTTTATACACTTACAAAAGCTATCAAAAAAAACACCATCCCCAAATATTTACACCTCGTTTCCATGGTGACAGAATAAAAATACATAGCTAGCTGGGCTGAACATTCCAGGAAACAAACTCTGGTAATGCATTTATTTTTCTTTCTCTCAAGCAAATGGCCTGGGAAAGTTAGAGGCCTCATGACAGGGCCACTGCCTGGTATTCTCATTCCCTTCGCCTGTGTGAAGATGTAACCCCTCTGTCAGTCATCCTGCAAGGTGGTACAGTGGCAGTATCACAATGGGCCCAACCCATTGCAAAGGGACCTCTCACATCTTTCACCTCCCCTTTGAGAAAGTAAAAAGTTAGAGCAGAAAATATCAATATAAATAGAGCCTTTTTCTGTCTGGCTTTGAAGGGAAATAGGTTAGGAACAGAACTGGGGCTAAGACCAAAACTGGTTCAGCAGTTACAATATAGGATATAGGATAACCATACCATCGCTGGGCCACATTCACTCCTGGTGTAATTCTACTGATTTTAGTGCAGGTATCTCAGAGAATTAGCTTGGTTCAGTATGTCTCTGCATAATACAGATGGCCAGAAATGCAGGCTCAAATGGGCTCCCAGCAGAAAGACTCCCACATGTCATTTACTTGATTAAGATGTTGCTGGAAAGACTGAAATGCCTCACAGGTACATTGGGAATTCAAATTTGTAATTGCAAGTTAACCAAACAAATTGTGTTTTAATTGGCAATATATTTAATCCCCTTCTCTCGCTTTCTCCAGTAAGACCTGCCCTATGGACTGCCACCAATGGGTGACTTCTTATTAGTTTAAGTAACCTCTTTAAGTTATCTGCACGTTTCCAGTTCTCTAGTTAAAAAGTCATTCTGGTTTGGCTGGTCCTTTGAGTGGTTGCTTAAAATGAACAGCTCTCTATATACATATATGCACATATACACACACAGATTTTCAGTCAGTTTCTGCTAGGTGTCCAAATTTGTTCATGCAAATTTTACATGCTCAGTTGATTGTTTGCCTAGTTATCACATGTATGTCTGCAAAACAGGTACTTCAGGCCTAACTATCCAATCTGATCACACAAACACGCACGGGCCGTCATTCCACACCCAAAATTCAAGGCCATCTTTTGAAAACGTGATCCTAAAAGTCTACTCTTGTAGCTGTCTGATTTGGATTCCAACACATGTAATCTTTCTTCCCTGAATCCTGCTGCAGGATAATTTACACAGGAGAACAAGCTGGGGTGGGTTGGGTATTTATGGTGAAGTCAGGACTGTGGCTTGCACTCATTAAAAGGAAAGGGGGATGCCATAGGTATCAAATGTGCCATAGGAACCACAGGCATCAGATGTACATTGACCATTTCCTGGAAGTTGGAGCTGTGAAAAGTGCTGTGGGTTATTTTGGTAACCACTGGTGAGTACGTCCTAACCTGTGCTCTTCTACCAGATACTCAAACTTCTCAGATCTTCCCCAGTCAACCAGATCTCTCCCTTCATAGTGCTCCTTAGAAAATTCCTTTTTGTCTCATGAAAACATACTCCACTCATGCCCATAAAGACCAGATATTGGCTCTATTGGGACATCACAGCGATGTGCTGGGCGGCCCTGTGCTGAGATGTGGTTTGTAGCCTAAAAACTGCTTTGGTTTGTCATGTGCTATCACAACAACTTTTGGTGGCACCTGGGCAGCAGGAAGCCTTGGGACTCGGTTTGAGTTCTTTTGAAAGTGTAGCCTATCAGAAACCCCTCCTGGCCTCCACTTCTGCTACAGAAAGGATAAACCTCCTCTCCTAGATACTTAATTTTGAACTAGGTCCAATTTAGCCTAATTCTCTATTAGCTACAGAAGGGCCTGTGCAATGTGACTTCAGAAGCATTTGGGATTTCTAAAAGCTGTGTTTGTGTAGACTGTTCACTTTGTTTATTCACTCTGGCATATAAACAGTCTGAAAGGTGACAAATGACACCATCTGATGAGGAAGCGGATAATTCTGAAACCCAAGCAACATCTGCTATGGGACCGATACCATCTGTAATGTGTCTATTATCAAGTATTTTATATATTCTCTGTTACTCGTACTTTTATTATGTTACATATATATGAGCACGATATATACAGCATTATATATCTGTATTCTTATA